TTATATTTGTGTAATGAAATCAGTAATCATCTACTATAACGAATAATTCGTTAATGCTATAATGAAGATTCTTATAACAAAGTCCTGATCGGCTGGATCGGCAACTTCGTTATATCGAGGTGTGACTGTAAACTGGTTCTGTACTTTTACTAATTTGAAAAGATATCAAGAATCAAATACAACTACATTTGATAACTCAAAACAACACAACTGAAGAATCAATTACTTAACTGAATAACTTCCTACAGTAGAATTTTTAAAATCTACACAAAAACACATTTACCAAAATTCATGGAAATGTTATCGCTATGCTATTGAAAATGAAACTTTTGATCATATTTGGCTATGTTCCGCTAGCTTACCTATCATAATAGATATAATGGATTGTATCAAAAATTTCCTATTACATCATCTTATCACACTACATTTTACTCCTTGTACTGTATTAATTCACTATTTAAATACTGATGAACTTTGAACTATTGCCTCTAACAACAATTTCTTATCCTTTATCAATCTAATTAAAGGCATTATTCCTTTGAGCCTTTTCAATCATATTCAATGTATTACAAACTCACAGAAAATCACTTTTAATAACCTTTCAAACACTATTATATACCTTTATAACCGAACTCATTACGATATTTGGCTCCTTAGATGTAAACTAATGATTGTAAAAGAAAAAGCTCTACAAATCTCTGATAAACAAAAAAGAAAATACAACTGCTCTTCAACATTCACTTTTAATTGACACATTAATTCCTCATCTTTTTTCAACTAACCTATTTTTACAAATTGGATTGATTTAGTCAGACTTTCTATAATTCATGGCAGGGATTGAACACTCTTCTTGGATTGGTAATAGCTAATTTTTCTTTATTTTCAAACTTTTTCTTTTAACAGACAGTTATGATAGAACTTATATTTATATATTTGTTTTTGAATTCGATAAGATAACCGGCTGGTTTGGAGGAATCTGATCTTTTATAGGTTTTTTAATGTCTCTAAACAATTATTTGTTTATGTTGAGTCATATAGATAGTACTTTAATCTTTTTACTTTGTATTATTTGATTTTTAAATTTATTATTAATAAAATTATATTACCGCGTCTAAAAAAAAAACTGATTCAATTTTGATAAATTTTAGCTTGTTAGAATTGCTATATTAAGAAGATTTGAAATCCAGTATCAGTTTTTTAGTAGCTAATCTATTAAAAATGTTTCTAACACTGAAATTTTATTAAATAAAAATGTTTATATTAATCTTAAAATTACGTAAAACAGGTATTAATAATCGCACCTCAAATTTTATTTATTATTTTCTAAGATTTAAGGATTAAAATAAATATAAAATTATATTTTTAGCATGTGTAGATAGTTATAAGCTTTTAAAGTTTAAATATTAGATGGTGCATTACTTTTAAAAGCAACTGTAAATATGTAGATAAGTACTTTATAATTTATGTTTTTAGCTAATTTATTAATTATAAATATTAATTGTCCGGAGCGAAGCGGAGGACTATATATGTTTGTAAATGTTAAGTGTAATTATGTCACGTGGCGAAGTCCGTTTGTCTGCATGCGTCACGTCACTGAAATTTTGTGCTACACTGATAAATAAATCTGTGATAAACATAAAAGTTGTTATAGTACATGATAAGTTTGAAAAAAAATTTTTTCTAAAAATAACGTTTTTTGCAACAATTAGTTAGATTCCACTATTTCGTAGAAATAAAATGTATGTACGAGTGTATTTGCAGTTTTTCACGCTAATATATTTATTGTATTACATTCACTATTCTATCTATTGTGTTACATTCAATCAAGTTTGAAATTCTAATCTACAAAAATATTTTGCTCCGAACTCACAACGGTTTCTGTTTTCTAGTTATATATATAGTAAGTTCTTGATAAAATAAATCTAAAGGTCTAAATCTCAATCTTCATTATAAATTTATAACAAAATTTTTAAAAATTTAATAGGTTGATTCACTATAAAAATACTGTATATTTAATATATTTGATTTAAAAATTTATTATATTAAGAGTTCGCTATATTAAGATTTGATTGTAATCAATTTTTATTAGTCTGAAGCGAAGCGAAGGACTATATACTAACAGACACTTTAATGATCGATGTCTCGTGTCCGCTCGCTTGAATTATAAGTTGATGCAGATTATTGGTTCCTTGCATTACACTGCAGATTCTATATATAAAATAAATGTCAAGTAAATAAAATCACGCGAACCAAAAATGTTAAGTAAACAAATGTAAACAATTGCAATGTCAATCAAACAAAAAAAATTCCCTTTTAAAAAATATTTTTATTGTTTATAAAAGTATAGAAAAAAAATTATTTTTCATTCTTATAAGGTAGGTGAATATTCGTTTCGGACTTCACAACGGTTCCCGTTTCCTAGTATATAATTTGAATAGTATCAGAAATTAATAAATCTAATATAAAATAAAATAATTTATAAATATCATTCTTTAACTCACTTTTCTAAAGTATTTCTTTTAATTTAATGTTAATTTCATATATTTTAAAAAAAATTAAAATAATAAAACTTAATTAGTGCTAGTAACAAGTACTAATTCTTTATTTTACCATATTTTGATAATTTTGATAGTGAGTTATTGCTTTACTAATCAAATTTAAAATGATTAAGTAGCTGCTTAAATTTTATTATTAAAATAATATTATAATATTATATTCTATATTATAGAGTTTAAAATTTTACATTTAAGGGTTATTATTTATACTGTAAAATATAAAGTAAATTTTTTGATAATATTATAATTAAGTAAAAAAATTAATAATACAGATTTTTTTAATAATAATGAATATTATAATACTATAATTAAATTTAGAAAAGAATTTAAAATAAAATTACAGGTTGCATTTATTTTTAATTAAGAAATTGCTAATATAAAATTTGGTAAAAAAATATAAAAAATGCAATATATTTTATTTAATAATATATAAATTAAACTTATAATATTATAATATAAGAATTATGATAATGAAATAATAAAGTATATTTAAATATTAAGGTTATTAGCAAATAAAAATAAAATTATAAAATAAATTTTCTTAATTATATATAAATAGTAAAAATTATATTAAAATTACAAATTTGAAAAATGGTTAGAATTTATAATAAAATAAGTTTTGAATAAAATAAAGTTACAGAAGTTAATAACTTTGCTAGTTATAATGATATTAGGAATATTAATAATAGTACTTTAGTAAATAGTGGTTATAGTGATAATAATAATAATAGTAACTTTAGTAATAATAATGATAGTAATAATGAAAAAGTAATAATAATATTGTCTAATATAAACGATTAAAAAACTTTATATTATAAAAATAAATATTATAAATCAGTTTATAATAAAATAATATATGCGTAATTGTAATTATGTTAATTAATTAAATCACATAATATAATATTCCTAAATATTATAAATTAAATAAAAAAAAAATGATACGTTTTTATGCATACATAGTAACTGAAATCAAAATTATGGGTACTATGTATTTTTATTCAAAAATTGTAAATTATATAAACTTTATTATTTTTTTTCATTAATATCTTTACTTTAATGATAAATAGAAAATCACATATTGAAAATTCATCAATGAATTCTATATTATGATTGATAACATAATATTACATAAATTGTTTTATTATCAAACTATTATTTTTTTTATTAGATTTTATAAATAAAACTTTAATGATATATTTCTTTGTCACATTCTGATTGCTTACATGAGAAATCAGAACATAAAAAATTTTGAAATTTTTTTTTTAAACGAGTTGAAGTTATAATTCTAGTATATCACCAGATAAAGTTAATTTTGAAATAATGTAAAAAGGTTATTATAGTATAATTTAATCAATTAATCTTTTTCTTTGGAAGAATTTTTTAAGATATATAATTTGCCAACCTCCTAAACCTACAAATACAATCATACTACCAAGACTAAACCATTTAACACGTTCATTCGTAGATTCTTTAAGAGAATTTGAAGAGGAGAGATAAAGTTCAAATTAAAAGGAATTCGAATTAAAGGAATAAATTTTTTTTTAAAAAAAAAAAAACAAAAACTAAACATACCATTCGTATCTCTCATTCTTGCTTCACGTTTTCGTAAATAATCCATTTCATCAACGATTTCTTGAACGACTTGTTCTAACTTTCTTAATTCAGCATCTATAGGTTTTAATTTCTCGGCTTTAGCTAATGCATCATAATCAATAGCTTCAGCGCCCACATCGATATCCAAATCAATTGTACGACGATATTTTGGATCAGGACGAAATTCTATTTTGTCAGAAATTTTAATTAGTTGGTCAATTCATACGATGATGAAAAAAATTAATTGATTAAATTTACCATCATCTAGAGTATTTGTAAAACAAATTGAAACATCTGCATCAGCATGTGTAGTAAAAGCTAAACGAGTATCCTCTTCAATATCTTTTTTACCACCATATTCATTATGAGCGGGACTATTATCAGTTATCTATAATTATGTTAAATAATGAATTTATTTATTTATTGATTCTTTCAATGATTTCACTAGCACGTTATACTCACTACTGACCTTTACATCTACTATTTGATTATATCCAACTCCAATCTTAATTGTTGCTACAACCAAAGTATCAGTGTAAACGTATTGTGAAATACATTTCGGTGTTAATGCGTTCGAAGGGGTTGCCGGAAGATCAAATTTTATTCCCCATACCAAATTAGATATGGTTAATAGAATAAATAAGAGTAATGAAAACGCAGTATATTGTATCATTTGGAAAAAGAAATTGCTTTTTGTTTTTTTGATGATTTCGAAATTTTTTGATATTTAAATTTAAAGACACTTTACATATTCTGATTGGATAAGCTCGATAAAATGGGGAAACTGCCGGGAAAAAAATGGATGAATATGTCAAACTTCATTTTTTCCCGGTGGCAATTTCCCCTCCCAAAATAATTTAAAAAAATAAAATTATAAAAAAAGAATGCCGTTGCCTGGAATCGAACCAGGGCTAGCGCGGCCACAACGCGATGTACTGCCACTATACGACAACGGCTTGTTGATTACACAAAATAAATTTTTGATTAACTATATAAACAGATTATTAGAGTTATTATAATACGATTGCAGCATAATAATATTTATTTAATATAATATTTTACTAGGTCAAATTTTAATTTAAACGAATCAAAACTTGAAATAAAAATAATTTTTAGAGGTACTTGAAACAAAAAATTTTTTTAATTTAATAATTACAAAATATCATTCATAATGTTCGTAACATCCTAATTATACTGTAAGTAAACTATTAGGGAGAAATATAATATAACAAAAAAAAAATTTATTTCAATTTTCTAATCTCATTATCGATGTCGTGAATCAACTGTTTCAGTTTATTCCACTGTTCCAGTTGTAAGGAGATGCCTTTTGGTAAAATAATCGGAAATAAATTGATTGAACGTCAAAAGTCAAAGAAAGCAACCAATACTAATCATCACCTTTTTTCGTTGGTTGTGTAATACCATCTTTAGTTTGAAAAAATTCACGAAAGTCAATTAAAACCATATTTCTCCATTCGCGGACGGTCACCCTCTTTTTGTCAGATAACTAATAAAAATCAAGAAAAAATATAAAGACAAGTGATTTATAAAATAAAAACATAAAACCTATAATATTTGTTATCAAAGAAATGCCTTTTACTTTGAAATATGTCTCCCCATCATTATTTTCCCCTCGATCACTTCGATCGCTTTCATATGCTTCTTCGGAATCAGGCTCTCGTCTGATTTTCTTTGAACTTCGAGAAGAGGTACTTTTACTTGGCTAAGTTAAAACAAAATTCGTAGAATAAACGAAACGAATAATTTTAGGTTAATAAAGTAAAGTATAAGTGACAAAAAATACTTTAGGATCTTCATCTTCTTCAAACTCTTCCTGCCCATCATCGTTATTGTGTTGCTAAGATACGTGAAGTATTTCGCGTCAGTAAATATTAAACAAGTTCAGAGAGTAGTCGTTGTAATTATTGTTAAATAGAATTATTCACCTCCTCTTTTATATAACCAGCTTCTTCGTCACTGTTAACAATATATTTTGAACTTTTCCTTTTGGAAGACATTATTATAAAGAAGAAATTAAGTAAGGGATTAGAACGCGAAAAAAGTGAGAGAAATACTAAAAATAGAAAAAAAGTTGTCTGATGTGATGATGATATCTCCATTATCAGTAGCCGGACATGTCGCACGCAGATCGTGTAACTCTAATTGATATTAATTACGAAATTATAGACCATCATGTGCTCGCGAAATTACGCTTTAAAAATAAGTTTTTTCAAGATCTTCTTAAAAGTAATGATAAATATATAAATAACTTTTAAAACAGAAATATATGCAAATAAAAAGATTCTCTAAGATTATTCAGATGGAATTTATGTAAATAAAAAAAATCGATTTTTTAATATTTTTATTTTATAAAAACTTTACAATAAGAAGAACCTTTTTATAAATGTAGATTTTAAGTGCAATATAGAATTTTCTTTGAATTGTGTCATTCTAGCTAATTTAGCATTTTATCAGCAATATAATTTCCTTCTATTTACAATCAAATTTTTCATTCACAAATACAACAGATATTAATTCCAAATTTAAAATCAAAGGAGGTAAAACCTCTCTACAAAACGTTATCCTATGAAAAAAAAAGTGGATCAACTCATTACGATACAAATCAATACTATTTCTTGATCAACTTATTTATGATGGTATTTTCTTATCAAATTTTAAGGACTTAGGTATTTCAAATTAACAATGACCACCATACAGTTAAAGGCAGTTATCAGAATGGTTTTCTTATTTAGAAAGGATTATTATAATTAATCTAATACAATCAAACAGAATCAAAGATCAATATATTATCAGTATATTTGTTCCTTCTGGTTTTAAACCATTTTCTCCTATAAACTCAACTAAGGTTTCAGATTGGGTTACTCTTTGGATTCTACCTGAAACAAACTTCTGTAACTTGTCTTATCCTGGACAGACTATTTTTGGAAAATCATATAAATCTCCACTTTTTTCTGATAAGATTTTGTTTTAACACTTTGTTTCTATCAACCTAACATCAGATCTCTGCTCACTATCAAAAAAACAAAACATCTTAGTAGCTTGCACTGGATGTACTTTTCATAATGAATTACAATATACACTTCCTATTGCTACCTAATATTTATATTGTGATAACATAGTTGACATTGATTTACCTCAACTTATTCAAACAAATTTCTTTACCTTAATTAACTCTGAAAAACTATACTTGCTAAAAAGAAATATCAAAATTGTGTCTGATCAAGTTATCCAAAGATACTTAGATATGAGACTGAATATATTATCTAACAACCTAATAATCAGTACTTATTCTCCTTTTTGTACTATTAAATTTTGATCCCAATGCCATTGACTTATACAACTTATACACTTTTAAATCAATTAAATTTACTTTAAAAAATGAAACAATACTTACCTTCTATACTAATGAATCTCACAAATTTATTCCTCATTTTACTTCTCCTAGTTTCCATTTAAGTTCAGCTTTTCTTCTAGTTCATGATAATTTTAATATAGAATTCACTACTGCTATTCCTTATTTATAGGCTAATTTTACTAATATAGAAATTTTTGTCTTACTTTTAGTTTTATTCATTTGCCCTTCTAATTCTGAGATTAACATTTATACAAATAGTTTATCACTTATTTACTTATATAACAAAATATGAAACAAAATGTTTTCAAATATTCTTTCCTAATGTCTAAGTTATCCTTTCACTTATATTGGTCCTTCATTTTTAAAATTTGGAAGAATAAAATATTTTCTTAACATTAAAAAAAGTAGTTACATATTCTGATGATTCCTATAATAACAAAATAAATCAACTTGCTAAATCTTCTTTATTTCATTTCCCTTTACCTATCAACTTCGCTCAAACACCATATCTCTCTTACATTTTGACTTTTAACAACATGTCTATTCTTACTACACTATGCATTTTTCTTAAAGATTTTACCAATACTAAATATTTTATTGATTTTTCTTTAAAAAGAAACCTTAAATATAGTCTCCTACACATAACTGGTCTCTGACTAAGGTTGCTTATCTAAACTTATTTTGGATTTAACAAAATGGTTAAATCTTTAGTTTCGCTAAATTTTACTAAGTGATTGATATAGTTTCACCATTTTTATAAGCTTTGATATAGTTTTACTTTTTTCCAAATTTTGCAGATTTTTTAGATTTTAATATAATTTAACCAAATTTTACTTTTACTATTTAGATGTCTATCTAAACTCTTGATTTTGTCTAGCAACCTTATCTCTGATCTTTGAATACATCAAATTTATTATTCCTACTGAAACCTTCTTTAAAAAATCCCAAGCGTATTGAAGAAGACTTAAATTTCTTTTTGATCAAATTCCTACAATTGAATTTATGAAAGTAACACAACCTAAACTTTATACATTTTCATGAAAATGCTATTATTGTCAAACTGAAAATAAAAATTTTAATCACATTTGAATTTGTGTCAAAGTAAAAAAAGAAATAAGAGACATTATCACTGATACTTTACAACTACTTAAACAATAATTATTCATTATACTTCTTGATCAGTTTATCATCCAGACCTGTTTTCACTCCTTCTTCCCTCACATCCTTACTGGTCTCTCAAAACAGACCTATACAATTTCAAATTTATTAGATTTTATTAAAGGTATTGTTCCTATCACACTTTCCAATTACTCGACTCCTTTACTAATTCCTCTTCACTTACATCTAAAATTTTTTCTTCCTTTTACAATCATATTTTTGATCAAACTTACAAAATTATTTGGAAATTCAGATGCAAAGCTACTATAGAAAAGAAAAGATCTCTCAATATTTCTAAATATAGTAAAAAATTAAATTATAGTTCTTCATAATATTTTACCATCAACAGTTTTTCTAACTCTTCTCTTTCAATAATATTCTAAAATATGATCATACTTCTCTAATGACTAAATCTTACATTCATAGATGAAAATAGTCTCAATTTCTAATGCAGTAATAACTATTTATCAAATGTCTATTTACTTATTAGTTGGATGGTGATGATAATTCTACTAGTGATTATTATTAAAGTCTGATAGAACAACCGATTAGTCTGATTGGAGTTAGTTTACTAATAAGGATAATTAGACAGCATTTATTATTTTTTTTTATTTTTGTACCTCTCTTATTTAGGGATTTTTATGTTTAATTTTTAACTAATTATGAATTATAATAATAAATAAATGCATTACTGCCATACATGAAGTTGAAATAAATCATTTCAGATATTTGAAATGGTCAAAATGGTCAAAATTATTTCGACTAATTAGAGGTAAAAGTCAAAATAGTTGAAATGATATCATATCTCATGATTTTTTATATATAAAAAAACAAAAAAAAACAAAAAATGTACGATCTCAGCCAATATCGCACTGATTCATATGAAACAACTACCATTCGATTTTCCATGACTAGATGAATCCAATGAGCCAACATTCATTGATTTTGGATCATCAATCTCGAGATAATAGCAATTGTATTATCAGCCGAAATTATGAATCAATAAATTTTACTTTAAATAAAGGAGTCCAGATTTTGAAATACAATCACAAATATTTCGAGATGTACTGATCCAAAATTAATGAATATTAGCTCGTTGGATTCGTCTAGTCTCGGGGAATCGAATGATTATTATTTCA